CCTGGACCTCACCAGCTCCCGACTCGAGGGCTGCCCCGGGCTTCTCACCCAGTGTCTTACCCCTGGCGTGCGCGCCCCGGCGCGGACCTGCCTCGAGGCCGCGAGCCCCGACCAGAGCGCCCGGGGAGAGGACGCCGAGGGGCATTGGCGCGCTGAGAAGCCCGGGGCAGCCCTCGAGTCGGGAGCTGGTGAGGTCCAGGCGGCCGAGGATGCGTCCAGGACAGGTGACGTTCCGATAAAGACAGTCCCCCTTGTCGACTCCGAAGGTGGCAGCGGCCGGGCGTCTGCCGTCCCTGACCCTTCCTCTGTTGATCCACCCTCAGACCCGTCGGCAGATCGTATTTGTTTGATGTTTTCTGACGTGACTTCACTGAAAAGCTTTGACTCTCTTACAGGCTGTGGAGATATTATTGCAGACCCAGAAGAAGAGGCAGGCCCCAGCTGTGACAAGCATGCCCCCGGGCCAGGCAAACCAGTGCTCTCTAAAAAGAACCCCAGCGAGGTGGCCTACCAAGGAGGAGGGGAGGAGATGGCCAGCCCGGATGAGGTGGACGACACCTATCTCCCGGAATTCTGGGACATGTTGTCCCAGACCGAGGACCAAGGACAAGGGCCCCAAGAGGGCGCAGCGAAGGCGGCCACTGCTTCAGACACCAAGCTGGCCCCTGAGACCTCCAATGATGCCCGGTGTGGGGAAGCAGCCAAGGACGTGTCCTCTGTCAAGCGCAGGAGGCTCCACAGGATCCCCATTGATCCTCAGCAGAAGGAAGAGCCCAAGCATCCCGAGAAGGAGCATCAAGAAGGCGTCCCTAATAGCGATGAGGGCTACTGGGACTCCACCACTCCTGGTCCAGAAGAAGACAGCGCCAGCAGCAGTAAGAAGGCTGTCATTCCCAGGGATAGCGACAGTGGCGATGCCCTCTATGATCTCTACACTGAACCCGAAGGAAGTCCAGCTGCCGTTCCTGCCACGGAGGACCCACCCTGCTTGTCCCGGCTAAAGCCGGTGTCTCCAGGGACCATCACCTGTCCACTGAGAACACCAGGCAGCTTGCTGAAGGACTCTAAAATCCCTATTAGCATCAAACATCTCTCCAACCTTCCATCCAGCCATCCTGTGGTGCACCAGCAACCAGCCAGGAGTGAGATGCCCAGAACAAAAATCCCTGTTTCCAAAGTGCTGGTCCGCAGGGTCAGCAACCGGGGTTTGGCTGGGACCACCATCAGGGCAGCAGCATGCCATGACAGTGCCAAAAAGTTGTGAGGTCTCCAAGGCCAAGGAGGATGGATGGGCCATGTGTTAAAGAATACAGCTCTCCCTTGGAAACCACTGAAGGAAGCTCGCTTTGCCCAAAGCAAACAATTTAGGACCCACCCTTCTCCACGTGGCCTAGCAGTCTTTGTTGGAGACAGGGGTAGGACACCCTGGGAAGGGAATGTTACACCTGGAGTTCAGATAAGTTCTTGAGGATTCTTTTCTAGCACTTTCCTTTCTCTTTTAAACTTAAAAAAAAATCTGTTTTTTTCCCTTCTTTTCTTTTTAACTGGTGGATTACTCAGAAGTAGCCTTCCCTTGCTTTTGCAGAAAATAAGATTTAACCAAATCTAGAGAAAATATCACACCAGGATATCAGGCTGTTCTAGAGTCAGGAAGGCCTTGAGGAATCACTTAACAACAGGATTCTTGCCTCTCTTTCCAGGAAAAAGGGGGGAAAAACCCACACCCCTTTGCTTATCACTGTGTGGGAAACACCTGCAAAGCTCCAAGATCCATGTAGTTATGTGATGGGAAGAGGGGAAGGCTGGCTGGCAGAGAGCCTCACAACATCCAGTGGCCAGATATACAAATAGGTAAAGATCTGTCTCTACGAAAGCAGAAAGATTTTAGTTTGGCTGGTTCAGATCACTTGTCTAAGGAGAAATAAATGGCTAATGATTTGTTTATGTGGTTTTTTGTTTGTTTGTTTGTTTGTTTTTGATTTTTGGATTTACTCCTTCCTCTTGGTGCAAAAATGAGGACCAGGGAATGATTTCACTAAATGCTAATTACCCAGTATTTTGTCATGTGTGAACTTCAACCTTCTTACATGTAGGTAATGCATATTTTAACAGTTTGCCTCACGGTTAACATTTTACAGCTCGTCAATGACATAGAATTTAGAGTCTGGTCTTATAGCTGGGATATGATGACAAACCATTGTGATTTTTTATGCATTGTAGCTTGGGGCAGGGATGCTTCCGATTTAGGAGAGTTCTTTGCATATATAGATATTCTATATATATATATATACATATATATACACATGTATGTATGTATGTATGTATGTATATTACTGATGTCCTTGAACAATGCATTGCCTGGCCTTGGTTAACAGGCCATTTCTCAGCCCAAACCAGAGATTTTACCTTACTTATAAAATGTTGAATCCAACCATTTCCCCAAGGTTAGGAAGTGCAAAATGAACATATGAAGAAGTAATAGAAAATACAAGTTTGAAACTATTCATTTGGCTTCTGCTGTATAAACCTGTGCCTGAGACAGCTGTGTGCTTCATGTGACACTGCCGGGCCTAGGTAATTCTACCAAATTATTTCTGAGAAGTGGTTTGATTCAATACGTGCTTTCTAATATTTAGGCTGAAACTCCAATGCCTTGGCAGTTTGAACAATAAGGTGAAGGGGTTCCTCGAATGCTCTTAGTATCTGCCGATTAAACGGCTGTCCTCTGGAGATGCATTTAACTCAAAGGCTGGAGCTTCTCCCAGAGGTGCTACGGCCCATCAGGAAGATGGCACATATCCCAGTGACCCTGCATGTGTGTGAGAGAGATGAGCACAGTATAACTCGAGTTTCAGAGCGACGACTAAGAAAAGGTCTGCTATTTTGTGTTTTAAGATTTTTAGTTCTATTTTGTAAAAGAAGAAAAGAAGCTAAATATATGAAGACCTATTTTAATAGTATGAAGGAAGCAAAAGTAAGTGGCCGTCAAGGAAGACTTGATAAGGCGGAAAGGAACCTATTCCCATTTTCAGTTTGTGGCGACTCCCTTAGAAGAGGGGGCAGAGGTCTGCTGCATCCCTGAGTTAGATTACTGACATTCACTGTGTTGTCTCAGGCCCTTGATGCTGTCGTCAAGCAATGCGTTAAGTTTTCATTTCCCTGTGTCTAGAAATGAGACCCTCCACGGACGTATCACTCTCAGCGTTGGCCTCATTCTCAGAAACCCTACAAGCATCTCAGACATGCTCAGGAATCCATCTGGATAAAAACTACCACACAGAAGACGTCTCAGAATAGTTGGAATTTGGCAATATTTTGAAAGTCGCCTTGCCCTTGAGGGAAAAAAAAACTTGAAATTTGATTAGTATTGATAGAAATGTATAACCTCCAAAATGTTTGTTTCCCTCTAGAATCAGAGAGGATATAAATTATACTTCAAGCAGGAAAACAAAGGAACTTTCTCCTTGTGCTTCTCCCTACAAAGATTAGGCTCACCTTTGCACGACTCCATGGCTGGGTTTGGTTTGCGCTTGTTCAGCTGTGTAGGAAAGGTAGCGTGTGAAGAATGGGCTCAGCCTTGTCAGAGGAATGGCAGGTGGTTGCTGAAGCCCCGGAAGCCACTCCTTCAAGTGTTCCCAGCTTGGAGGTTTATCTGCAATCACCCTCTATGCCATCCTCGCTTTAGAAGTGAAGGAAAAGTTTAGCAATATTTACCTTAATTTCCCCTGGCAATTGACCAGTTACAAAAGGCTTTATTTATAAAATTCTTTTCTCCAGACTTCTGCCCCTGATTTTTCCCCTTTATCCTGCACGTTTAAGACCAGCACCCTGCTAGTTCAGTAAAGGACTTAACAGTGAACTAATGTCCTTAGTTCTTAGCAGTTAGCACAGTGGTCAGCTTTCTCCAAATGCAGAGTAGGGGTCAGAGTTGCTTTCTTGGGCCAAGGGTTACTTTGTCTTATCTGTGTTTGAAAGAAGTTTCTAGATTTACATGCGACTGTTTGTAAATGTGTTATCTAATAGTCTTCTGAGAATTTGACAGACTTCTTTGCTGACTTTTTTAGAGAAAGGCCAGACATGAGTACATGGGGATTTCTTGGTATGTACAGTTCTAAGGTCCATTGGGTTGGCACTCTTTGGCTAAAGAACTGCCCCAAATCAGCCAAATCAGTTGTGGGGCAGGATTTGTCAGTTTAATGGCTCTGCACAAATATTTTTAATATCTACAACACACACACACGTGCACGCGCGCGCACACACACACACACACACACACACGCTACTTAAAGCCAATTTAGGCCTGCCATGGCTCTGCTGGCAGTGGAGGCTCTTATTCTCTTCCATCACGGAGTGGGAGACATTTTATTTACCACAGCATTTCCGATAATCACTAGAGGAAAGAAATTTTTATGACTTCATGTACTAATAATGCAAGGCAGATCATCAGGACTCCCTTGAGATGCATTTTGCCCAAAACTTACCTGCCTACTGCCATGCAATTACACCTTCAGTGTTTCATCCGTGCAGACAACGTCTTGCCCAGCTTAGAGGGCTTGCTCTCCTGTCTCAGTGTCTCAGTTGTTCTTCACTCACTGAAATTAGTATACAAAGAGCCCCTTGATGACCCAATTGTCGACGTCAAAAGCTCTATCAGGTGTTAAGATTGCTTTGGCCAAACTTTCTAAGAGTTTCCCTCTTCCCCTTTCTGATCTCTCTGGAGAGGTCTTTATTGAGAGCGTTACCTAAAAAGTTTGACTCAAGTGGCTTTATTTCTCCTGTTTTCATCACAGTTATCTGCTGCCCTGGGGTAGTGACAATATCACACTCCCCATGTTGTTGGCCTTCTGGACCATGTTAGCATGTTTGGGATCGTGAGACTATGACATGTTGTTTGCTTTCTGGACCATGTTAGCATGTTTGGGATCGTGAGACTATAACATGTTGGCCTTCTGGACCATGTTAGCATGTTTGGGATCGTGAGACTATGACATGTTGTTTGCTTTCTGGACCATGTTAGCATGTTTGGGATCGTGAGACCATAACATGTTGGCCTTCTGGACCATGTTAGCATGTTTTGCTCCCTGCTTTTTCAGTCGTTGTCAATGTCTTCCTTTCACTGGGATCATGAGGACTTGGCTCTCTGTGCTTGGCCTCTACTGAGACATAAAGAGTCATCTACACTCTGCTTCCCTCATGAGTGTTAAAAAAAAATTGACACAAGAGTTTTCCGATTGCCTCTCCTTGTCACCATGAAGGTCTGTGAGAAGGTTCTGCATAAGAGAATCCAAGCACATCAGCTAACCTTGGTCCTACCCTTGCTGGGCCCACTAAGAAAGGACTCAATTATCTGTGTAAATTCAACCTTAGACATTTTGATTCGCAATACAAAAACATGGATGAAACAGCGAGAGACAAAGTCTTAGCAGAGTGTCCCTTAGATGCTGTGTGGCAGAAGGGATCTGCTCAGGAGCACCTCGGGGTGCTTAGCGTGTCCTCAGAGTGGTGGTTGATTGTGTCACTTGGGGCTCTGCTCTCAGGACTTTCAGTGGCTGTCAGTTCTAGAGCGCTTCTCTGGTCCTTGCACTCTGGTGATGGTTCAAGAGAAACGGTTTGTTGCAACAAAAGCCACTTAGAAAAGAAGCGACTGCTCCGCCTGCAGACAGATGAAGCCTTAGAAAGGTGGCTTGGAATTGAATTAGGGAGAGGAGTTCTTTCTTGAACGGAAACAGGGAAGGTTAAAGCGTCGCAAAGCCTCCAGCTGACAGACAGCAGCTTTTATGATATCGACTTGAATACGATCCAAAGCATAGTCACCGTATCTAACACTTAATTTGAAAAATCCAGTCCAGTCGGGGGCTTACATGTGGCTGTGCTGTTATCGGATTTTCGTCCATATTCTTTAAAACACTTCCATTTGACCCATCTCATCTCTGCATGTTTTGCGTTTGTACTTATTGCTTATAGTTTGTATGTTGGAGCAGAAGGGTGGTAAATCAAGTCCCACGAAAGCGTCTAGTGGCCCAGCCCTTGCCTCTGTGTGCCAGTGCTCCTGGGAGCACTACTGAGAAACTCCACTTTCTTAACAGCCATATGAAGTAACATTGTCTCCCTGATGGGACTTTGATTCAGACATTCTGACCCTTTCGTTGCAGGCTCGCTCTCTCTCTCTCTCTCTCTCTCTCTCTCCCCCTCTCCCTCTCCCTCTCTCCCCCTCTCTTCCCCTCTTTCCCTAGTCTCTGAGACAGGGCTGTAACTGTTTAGTGTCCTATGTAGTAACACAGGAGCTAAGAGCTGCTGAAGTCACTGACCTCACTTCACTTCTAACAGGAAAAGCTAGCTCACATCCAAGCTCATGAAATTAGCTTTGTGTCTAAGACATTGGTGCTCGGGTCACATATAGGGGAGCCTGTAGCCCCCTGTTCCTCTGTGCTCCAAAACAAACAACTGGCTTCCTTCTCTTTGGAGCACCCTCTCCTTCCAGGGATTAACATGGAAAACACAGACACAAGTCTCTTCTGTTGTCATGGCAACACTTCTTCCCCCGATAAGATTTTGGCCATTCCAGGCACGCTTTGCTTGCTTTCCTACCTTAAGCCTAAAGTAGCTTTGCCTTGAGTAATCTGTGTTACTTTCATTGTAGTAAGAACATTCAGTGTGAAGCCTGCCTTCTTCAGTTTTTATGTGTACAATACAGTACACGTGACTACAGGCCCACCACTTAGAGCAGGCCTCTAGAGCTTCCACACGCAGGAGTAAGGAACATTTTATCGCTCACTGGCCAGCCATGCCCCCTCCTCCAACCCTGACAACCAGTATTCTGCTCTCTGATTCTGGGAGTTGGACTGCTTTCAGTACCTCAGAGCAGTGGAATCTGGTAGATTTTATGCTTGTGTGACTCACTGTTTTGCTGAGTGCAATGCCTCCCAGACATCATGCCCACCTTG